AGTGCCAGGAAGTGCCAGGGAGGTATAAGAACAGGTGAAAGTAACAGGAATGGACACTGTTACTATAGTGGACACTAGTGACTGGCCTAATAAACCTATTATGTTACTCGGGTTTTCAGACATTGCCTATGTATGGTCCATTAAGTTTCCTTGTTTTACGCGTTGACTCTTTTTGGCCAGTTCACTATTTATAAGCACCCGCATCTTAAGGTAGAACCCAGAAATCACAGCTGATAAAAAATAGTCATCACGAGCAGTGCTTCCGGAGGAAAAAAATTAAATATGTGAAGTTTTAAAGTTACCTATAGACTATTATTTTCTGTGCTTGTGCTTCTACTCATTTAAAGTATGAGCTGCCAGGGTATGACTTACACCGGAAGGTATGTGTCACTGCCTACATTGGGGCCCCCTACCAGGCCCCTTCTCACCTGCCTCCAGGTTCTCCTAAATTTCCTCAGCCAACCTGTCACTGAAACATGAAACTCTATAATTTCAGTTAAGTTGGAATATTGTCCCTTACTTAACTACAGGTGCTCTTGGAAAGGGCAATATGTTAAGCCTTTATCAGTCACTAAGACTTTTGTGGTAACGTGTTTGGTTTGTGTTACCAGTAGGATAGCTTGCCAAGATTAGATTCTTATATCCCCAGGGAGAAAGTAGAGTAAGAAATCCACATCAGTTGTAGGGATTGGGTGGGCCAGTTCACAATACCTACAGCTAACGAAGAGGGCCCCCTGAGAGGAAGAGAACATGAGTAGGAAGAAAACTCAAGGGAGAGATGGGAGGGGGCAATAGCAAATGTTAACTTCACAATTTTGTTCAAATTCAGCCCTATCTTGGAAAACCCTCTCCGTAGTCAGTTTAGCGAGCAGTTACTGCATATGATTTGCTCTGACAGTTTGGTGGGAATATGTGCTTTTCTGATGTACAATTACTGTGTTTCAAATTTTCTGTGACACAGCTTTTACATGTAGTGATGACATGCCTTGTAATCATCCTCATTGTGGCAATAGACATGCTCAGACTGTGTTAAATCATTTCAGCAGTGTCTGGATCTATAGATGATGGGTGTCAAAAGCCTCTTTAGTTAAGATTCCCCACTTAACAGGGTAAGATTCGTTATGACTTCCTTTTCTGTGTTTTGATAACACAGGTGAGATACTAAGAGGCATGTGGGATGCTATAGTTCCTAGTTGGTTTTCCTTTTTCCTATTGTGTGCAAGTTTTTATTTGGCTAGACTGGTTACCTAGGAAACAGCTGCAGGGTAAAGATGGATTGGCTATTTGGAAAATGGAATTACAGGCCCCTTCAGGAGGCAAAAGACCTGTTGGATAAAACAAAAATTAGTGAATGGCTGAATTTATGCTTAATTTAGTGTGCTTCAACAAATCAAACTGAGACAGTTCCATAGGAGAACCTAGTTAATGCAGCATGATTTTTAAATTTAGCTTGTTTTTAATTTATTAAGTTCACCAAATGTTTATTAATTCCTGCTTTGTGCCCACTGCTGCAGGCCATTCTAAGGGTTTCCAATGAAACAGAAGGTTCAGTTCCCTCTTGAAAAGCTCATTTTCTGTTTGGGGTTAAAAGAAGTTACCTTAAAATCAAGTGCACGATTATGTGATACAGTCTAAATGTGTTCAGAGAATTTGGAGGATGTAAAAGATCTTGGCTACTCAATGTGAGCGATGGATTTGAATCTACAGGCAGGAGATAATTCTTTGAGGTAAAAGATGAAATTTAAAGACCTGGTGAAAGTTTGGGTACTAACAGTTACCTGAATGTACAAGATTCAATGGTAGCAGCACAGTTACCCTTGCAGATCCCTACACCCAGACAGCTTATGGAAAATATGTAACTGTGATATAAATTATATTGCCGTAGAATCTTAAGAAAATGAATTTTAGTGACAATGTTGACCAACCACTGTTTGCACTAGCCTTTGCATAATTTAAGAAAACTCTATTTTCACTGAAAGTGTGACAGTATTAGTTTTGTAATCTCAGACCACTACAAAAATGTGAGCACATAAGAGACACTCAATAAAATATTTATGAATTGACTTGCTTATATACAGTACACCTTCTTGTTAGTTAGCATTAGCCTTCTTTTCTTCCAGAATGTAGCTGTTGAATATTTGGTCTTGATTTGTGGTGATAAGGACTTTCGTAAATACAGACGCATAACTCTTCTTTTACAGCGGAACATCTGTCAGGTTATTTCCATTGATTTGTAGAAAGTATAGGTATAATTTTCATTTTCTTACTTGTTCTCTTTGTATTCACTTGGTGTGCTGTGCCAGCCAGGAGAGGAGGAAAAAGCAATCCTACTCAGAAAGCTTTACAACCTATAGGCACAGGAAGTTAAATTTGAGCCCTCCTTGCCATGTCCATAAATGGAAAGTAAACGAGGCAACATAAGGATACTCAAAATATTTTGAAAGGGAAATGTTTTAGTTATGGTTTATTGAACCTACAACTTCAAATATTTGCCAGCAAAAAATAATTCTCAAATGTAAATCTCAGGACTCCCCTGGTGGCGCAGTAGTTAAGAATCCGCCTGCCAGTGCAGGGGACACGGGTTCGAGCCCTGGTCCTGGAAGATCCCACATGCCACGGAGCAACTAAGCCCATGCGCCACAACTACTGAGCCTGTGCTCTAGAGCCCGCGAGCCACAACTACTGAGCCCACGCTCCTAGAGCCCGTGCTCCACAACAAGAGGAGCCACCGCAATGAGAAGCCCGCACACCGCAACAAAGAGTAGCCCCGGCTCTCCGCAACTAGAGAAAGCCTGTGTGCAGCAACGAAGACCCAACACAGCCAAAAATAAATAAATAAATTTATTAAAAAAAAAAAGTAAATCTCAGTCCACTAGCTATTTATAGAGTTACCAATGAAAGTTTCTTTGTATTTTAAATTTGTGAAGAGAATTGTTACTATAATCAGAATCCATAATATTGAATTTTGCCAGAGGGTCTTTCATTGCCTGTTGTCTATTCTCACTGTACTGATAGCTTTTATAAATGAGATAGTGACTACAGAGGGTAATTTGTTAGAAGATTTTTGCTGAGTGATCAGGAGTGGTTTCCTGTTAGAAGAGCTTGAGCACTGCTGTGAATGCCTTCTTTATTTCCAAAATTACCATAAAATGCCTTATCATAATAAGACACGCCCTCTCCCTCAAGTTTTCTTTTCAAGGAAACTTTTTAATGTTTCATTTTAAGAACAATTATGCAACTCCCTGGTACCTACTCACCCCTATTGTCGTCCCTTTTCTGGTTTCAAGCAATCACCATGATACTAAAAATGTTAGTAACTGTCAAAAACTTTGAACTGATTTACTTCTCTGGCCTGTGGAATCACTCCACTCCAAACAGCAGCTCGGAGGAGGGATAGGGTGGCATTACTTACTGTGACAGTTTGCTCACTTTCTATCCCTCTCCCGCTCCTCATCTGCCTCCATCTTGTGGTGACGATCCTGTAATTATAATGCTGTTTGCACCTATGCGGAGATCACAAGAAGGGCCTAATTATTAGATTATTTGAGAGAAAAAGGTACAACTTGTTTGCGTTATCGTCTTCCACTCTTTTGAAAAGTTATAGTCAGAGTTAGCATTAGAGGAAAAAAGACCACAACTCAATTCTGAGAGCAGAACTGATTTTTCTCTTCATTTTCTTTGAATACATTGCTTATTTCTACAAATGTACGAATGGCAAAGGCATGTTGCAGGAAAAACCCCTCCCTCCAACAGCCCCACCTACCCACATATACATCTGTATGTACAGGTTCAGCCCTGGTCTGTCTTCTCCCACCAAGGGCAGCTTCCCAAAATGCCTCTGGGAATTTTACTTACTGTCCTCAAAAAAGGGCACTTGTTCATGGCAGGTGCTATGATTTTGAGGTTAATGTCTTTTTGTTGTAGTTGTTCATAATGAGAAAATAAGACCAATAAAAGATGCAGAAATCTGTTGTTTTCAGTGGCTCCAGAAATTTCTTGTATTTTTGGCAGCTGTTTTCCCATTTGCAGTTGCCCTTAAAGGGGGAAGCAAGCAACTTTTACTCAAAAGTGACATTTTAGTTGTTCTTCTTACTGGGGAAAAGGATAAAATAATAATTCTTTCATCTTCCTTATCTAGGTTTCTGTAAATTAATTCACCCCAAATTTGCTAGAGAGGTTCCCTGGGTTTGACATGAGAACATGTTTGTTTAAAAATAGCAGTTGATGTTTTACAAAAACCACTTTCATTTATTTAAATGGAAGAGGGGGCACTTTAAAAATTAGCACCGATGCCTTTATGCTTTTCTGCTGAAGCATACTAGTAATGATTTGGCACTGTGAGTACTTGTACATTGTACAAAAATTGTTGACTTACCAAATGGGGTGAACCTACTAGTTTTTCCAGCATTTTCTTGAATTTAGTGGAAAAGTACTTATATTGAAATTTTCTTAGACCTTTTAAGTTTAATAAAATAATATTAGTTCCAGTATTTAATCCATTATTTAATTTTATTTATGTATTACACTTAGACATATTTCAAGTTTGCCTTCAAATTTTTAAAACATGTGTTTCTCCTCAGCCAAAATAAAATCATATACATTTGAGTCTTGGATCTGGGAATAGAAAAGTTCCAATTCTTTTTGCTAGTATGGTAATCTCAGCAAGAGCGGGAACCTCATCTCTTGTTCACTGTTATTTTCCTGGAGCCTAGAACAGTGCCAGACACAAGTACCGAGAAAAGTATTTAATAAATGACTGAATGAATTGCCTTCTATGACTTGTGAGGTTGTTTTTTGTTTTTTTTTTAAGTTCACTTTGTACCTTAAACAAAGTATTACTACATAGTGGACTACTGCAGGATGCTGAAGAATAGGAGTCAGTGGAATTCAGTGCTTGAATGACCCACTCAGAGAGAAAAGGACTAAAGGGGTTTTGGTAGGGACAATTCCCTGGGTGTGCCAAACCCACTAAAATACTCCCACGTTTTGCATCTCTCCAGGAGCACTCACTGTGGGCCTTGTGCGACAGTGTCAAACAATCCATGGACGAGACCGGACATGCATCCCACCTCGGCTTCCCCCAGAGTGGGTCACCACACTGTTTTTTATCATCATGGGAATCATTTCATTGACTGTCACATGTGGTTTGCTGGTGGCTTCCCACTGGCGAAGAGAAGCCACAAAATATGCTCGATGGATAGCATTCACTGGAAGTAAGTAACCTGTGCTAATTAAATTTGTCTAGAAGGCACTCACCCTGGAATCAAGACTCAGTAATAAGGACTCTCTAATCATCAAAGGGCACCACTTGCATACGGCCATCAGATAGACTCTACGCGGTCCCATCAGCTCTTCCGAATTCTCACCATAAGACCAGGACATCCAAACCTTAATTGCTTTGTATAACGTGCTATTTTAATGAATTTTATTTTTGCTCACATTGTGACCTAAGTGTTCCAGGTCTGTGACTCAGAGCTACCACTAACCTGAGTCTTCCTCTTCTTAAAGGTATTGGTATCGTCTGTCAAATAAAGATAAATCTAGAAGAAAATATACAGAAATACAAATTAGTTTAAGGTGGTGATTTGCTTTTTAATATCATTGATTTGAGTTTCTACCATAAGTTGTGGTGTGACCATTGAAAAATCAACACATTTGGTTATTTAATAATCGTTTCTCAACATCTCTGATGCCATTTAAGCTATGCCCAAGGGTGTGATAATACTTATATATTACACATTCTCTTGCACTTTGCAAAACTGGTTTAATTTCAGAGCACAACGCAGGCTTTTCCCAAGCCAAAAGCAACAAAAATGCTCAAAGGGAAGATTTCTGTAGTTCTGCTTTCTTCTTTCTAAAGCAGGTTTGTCCCCCAGGGAACATTTGTCAAAGTCTGGAAACATTTTTGATTGTCCCAACTAAGGGGATGCTCCTGGCATGTGGTGAGTAGGGTCCAGGGATGCTGCTGAACAGTGTACAGATGCACAGAATAGCCCTCCACAACAGAGACTAATCTGGCCCCAAATGGCAATAGGAACCTGTTGAGAAACCCTGCTCTAAAGAACAGGATAACTATCCCTATGCCAAATACTACGGGATTTAATTTCTAATTCAGTGTCTTATAATCATCTCAGGTTTTCTTAAGTTTTTAAAAAATGAATATTACAACACAGCTTACTTTCACCTGATATTGTCATGTAGAACTTGTATTACAGGGCTAAGGCATAATCCCTATTAATGTTAAAACTCAATTTATTCTTAAAGATCATAGGATAGGGATATTAGTTTGTGAGTCTCTGTTTCTCCCTATCTCTCTGTGAAACTCTCTTTAGAGAATGTATATGTTTCTGGATCTGTTGTTTTATTTTTGTATCTGTTTCTCCCTTAATTTTAAAATTTAGATCAAGTTGCAGTTGACATAAAAAGGCTTCTCCATCCTTGTTAAGAAATGTGAAACAAGTTGATCTTTTTTGAGGTCAAACAGACCTCCTGAGACAGTTCTTTTCTAAATAGTAGGGTCTAGAGGCAGTTATAGAGACAGAGCTACTAAATTAAAGGGTATTGATGGGGAATTTAAAGAGATCTTTACTCACAGATACAGTTACTTATCCACTCTTTAGAATTCACTCTTTAGGAGTAAAATAAAATCAAAGAAGAAGGATTTAGTTTCTGGATTTAGTTGAAATTTGGGAGTGCATGTGCTCTGAATACCAAAAATCTGAAATATTGTTTAGCAAAGTAATATCAGTCAGAGAAAAGCATTAAGGTGCTCACATGAGCCATTGGTTCTTATAACCCAGTAAAGGGAAAGAACTTTGATTATCTTGTTTTTCGTTCCTCTTCAAGAGAAATATTTAAGTACATATTTAATATATAGCTACCTTGAAATGCAGAATGTTTTTCCTTTATTTTCCATTTTTAATAATTTAACTTTTTAAAATAATATGTGCACGATACATAATTCAAAGCCTATGAAAGGGTCACCAAGTGAAAAAAGTAAATCTCATTTGTGGCCCTGTCACCCAGTCGTCTGATACTCCTTTCCTGGAAGCAGCCATTCTCACCAGTTTCTGGGGTTTCCTACCAGTGGTCTTCTATGCATAGAAACATATGTGTATATGTGTGAGTGTTCTATAAATACATATTTATTCTATTTATACTATTCTGTATCTTGGTTTTTTCGTTCAGCAATATATCTTGGTGTTGATGTCATCTAAGGAAGCATAGAGCTACATTCCCAGAGCTAGTTTACTGGGGTGGTAGTCATAAGAGGGATTGGGCTCCCCCTAGTGTTTCCGTTCAGTCTTTGAAAATGTACTTCATCTCTATTTTATGCACTTCTATTCCAGTTAAGCTATAGTTTGGTAAGAATATAAGCTAACATTTTCTGATGGATTTACACAGTGGAAATGTTCAAAGGAGAGCCACACATGAGGGGGCTCACCTATGGGGGCAAGGCTGTGCCTTTTTCTTCAAGTCTGACCCTTGTCCTTGCTTTTGCCACCCTAATTTACTTGTCTACCAGTACACCTGATTGACTTTCACCACCAAGAAATCTATGCTATACAGGATATGAAGTTATGTCTTTACAGACTTATTTAGGACCCAGAACTTAATTGTCAAAAGTTGATATGTATTTTCAGCATTAACAGTATTTTAAGATCTAAAGTAACTTCACAGGTCTCAATACCTAAAAAAACCCACAGAAAACAGGAAAACAAAGACAAAAAAACCTCACCCACCAACATTACATCTCCCCAGGATAGAGAACTCGATTCCTTGGATTAAAAACAAATATTGGATAGAATTAGGAGTTCATTGCTTCCTTAAAATTTGATTAAGCTTTTCCTAACCAATTTGGAAAATATTTAACACTTGTAAAATATTAAACCCTGCTTTAAATATAGTCATTAAATGATTACTCCTTTATAAAAGATAGATTTTTATTTTACAGTAGAAAATAGGAAAGGATAGGAATTAAGTTGGCACATCAATTAACAGAATGAACAACAGTAGTATCTGCATATCTTTTAAGGACTTCTAAATTATTTTAGTGTTTCTTGAGGTTAGAGATTAATCCACATTAAAGAACAAATTGTTTTTAAGGCAATAATGTTTTCCCATTGTTTTTATTAGATTGTCTACAGCTATTTAGATTGTGGTTTCATTTTACTTACCAAACCATATTAAGGCATAAGCACCGTTAGAGATTGGTGACAGATACCACAGATCAGGGGGCACTGGCAGCAGTAATAAAGTTATTTATTGCTAACTATGCAACAGAAAGGCCGAAAGATCTAATACTGAATACCTGAATTTTTCATTTGTTCTGTAGTAGGTATCCAAAAGAATTTAAATCTGCTTATGTAACATTATTTGGTGTGGTTATATGCCCAAAATGAAACAGATTCTATGTCTGCTTAATATAAAATAATCCACCCAAATGGTGCGAAGCAAATGAGAGTGCTGGTGTGTTTCTTAAGCTAGTGTATTACTTAAGAAAATGTCACGTTTTACAGCATTTCTGGAGCTTCCTTCCAGGAAATATTCCTAATTGGCTTTTTCAGGACTCTCCTATTAAATTTTGTAGATTGAGTAACACAAAAATAATTTAGGACAAGTGTCAGCTGGTATATTTATCCAGGACTCTGTCAGTATTGCTAGGGATGGGTTTAACTGAGAAAAGTTTTCTCATTCAGTTAATATTGGGAATGACTATAGAATGACATTACACTGAAGAAATGTTTCTGCCTTCAAAGAAATTTGAAAGACTATGAACATTTGACCAACATGCTTTCAAAAAGCATAAAATAATAATAATAATAGTAATAAAAAGCATAAAATATTTTCTTGGAAACGCCAGCCTATCTATAGGTAATTTGTGTTCCCTAAGAAGAGTGTTTCTTTGTTAGCACAGGGGAGCACGTGGTTTCCTAAAACAGCCAACTGTGGAATTACTTCTGCCCAGACACTGGGTTTTCTGATATCTTTCTAGAAGCATTTTAGCAAATAATATATTTCATTCTGTTTGCATACAAAATTCAAAAGATTTCCCCACTCTCCCCCACTTTAAACTCTGTAGTCAGAAACCTGGGAGACTTTTCTTTTTGGAACGTTGTCCGTGATGAGAGATAACCAGTCTGACAATTTGCTCCTCATCACAGAAGCCTGTGGTTCTTTCCACTAGCTGATTTTAAATCAGAGTAAGATAAATAGTATTTATATTTGTATGCACCTTTTCTCAATTCCTCATAGCTAATACCAACTGAGAGAGCAGAGAATTGGCAAAATAATGCTAGGACAATAATAATATACAGCATTTATTCAGCACTTACTATCAACCTGTCACTCACTGTGCGAAGGACTTGACATTGTTTTGTTTATCCTGTACTATATCCTTACCCATTTTCAGAATTTCAGAAGCCTAAGATTACACCATTAGTAAGTAGTAGAGCCGGAACTTAGCCCCTGTCTGACACTAGCCAGAGCCCTTAGTCACTACTTTAAATGGTCAAGAATCGTATATACGAGTACTTAGTAGGTTTGGAGGCCTTCCTTAATGCTGATATTCAAAACTATGTAAAAGGCTAAGCTAGCTTTTACTGTATTTAATTGTTAGGCTTTGGGGATCTGTAGTATACACAAATCTTTTGATAAGTGATCCATATTGTAACAGATTTGACCATGTCATCAATCCACAACCCTTCTTATAAACTTCCTTTGTGCCAAATTTTCATTGTTTTCTTAATCACCAAACCATGTTACTAATGTTGTGTTCTGGTTTGTTTTACAGTGATCCTTTTCTGTATGGCTGCCCTAATATTTCCAATAGGATTTTACATCAATGAAGTCGGAGGTCAACCATATAAATTACCCAACAACACAGTAGTTGGGTCATCATACGTACTTTTTGTCTTATCAATTTTCTTTACAATAGTAGGACTTCTATTTGCCGGCAAAGTTTGTTTACCAGGCTGATGAATGTCTGAATTGCTTGACTCTTATTATTTTTAATTTAATTTTATTTTTTTATTTTTGGAGGGTGGGGAGGACAAAGGCAAGGCATCTGAGTAGTCCTCACATAGGAAGATGCTTAGATGAAACTGATGCTGAAAAGAAAAAAAAATGCTTTGATTTGTTCTCACTATGCACTTTGGATTTAAAAACGAAAAATAAGGAGAGCCTTTTCCATAACCAAATACAGACAATATTGACTAAATCTCCTGAGCATATTCAGGCAGTCAGGTCTGCACTGTGATAGCAACCTAGTGAAGGAGAATGCTTTATACTGAAAAGCATGTGGCCCTTTGTGACTCTGTGGTTCCATTTTTAACGTCTAATGATTCATTTGAGGGAGGAAAAAATAAGTCTAAGTATTTATGAATCATGGCGGACCAGAGGGATGCAAGAGAAGTTCATGTGGGGCTGGCCTCACCTCCTAAGAAATTAGAGTTCACAGCTTCCTTGTAATGGTATGAGCCTTTGGCACTAGAATGGATTGCCATGGCATTACTGCACCAAGAAGCCAATAGATCAAAACTCGTTTGCTAAAATGTATGTAAAAATTCTGAAATTCCCTATTCTCTGTGTACAAAAAAAAAAAAAAAAAAAAAATCAAACACTAAGAAACATGTCGTTGGGGGGCGGGGGGTTGGGTGGGGGAAATTTTCCTTATATTTATATAAATATATATATAATATATATATTTTGCTGATGCAGTATACAGTGTGTATATATGTGTGTGTGCGTATGTGTGTGTGTAAATTTATATACACACACATGCAAACAGTTCCTGGAAGAGAACTCTGAATGCTTTGCTAGCAAAACACTGTGGTGTGCAAACCTAGAACTCAATAGAAAAAAAGCCATTTATCTGAAGGCTGCATAGTGGAGAGAGTCTTCAGTTTACCTCATTCTTTGTAGCAGCCCTTGATTTTAACAGGTTTTTGTAATAGGTACAAATAATCCCATACCCTTCTAGGTGCAATTTTAAGTTAAGCTAAAATTCTTTGTAGGGTTAATTTATTTGTTTATGATAGTAGAAGGTAAGATCATGTCAAACCTTATAATTTGGGGAATCTGACACTATTTAAATTATTGGCAACTGTTGTCTGTTGTACAGAGGTTCTCTTTTTCTACTGGCTCGTTCTGTTACATTAATAAAGCATTTTATATGTTTAAGCACACAACTTTACATAAATACAAAATTCACTAGTAATATCAATTTACAATATTTTGGCCATTTATAACACTAACTTCACTCTGCCATAAAAATTAAATTTATGTTTCTTTTCATCTAAGCATTATTAATAATCTCCTTTACCAAAAACCTGAGCAATACAGTATTTTCTTTAAATGCTATATGCCTTTGTTTGCTAAAAGCTAACATTTTTGCATTTACTTTGAAGGGCTGTACTAGACCCACAGCTTTACATTTCTTCCAGAAAGAAGCATTGCAGCTAACCCTTGAGCCCACAAATAGTTTTAAAATATAGTATTTCTCTTCTCCACATCTCCATGTCTTTATGTCAATGCTTAGTTGTTTTTCCAGGTGAACACAATAGATAATCTCCTGTTTGAAATGTGGGGCAGGAGGGTTTTTCATGGCAATGGAGTCTTTCATGGCAACGGCAACCGAAATGTCCCTATCAGAAGAGTTAGGGTACCTTGTTTCACACAAACTGAAATGAATGCACTGTTTTGTTGTTTTTTTAAATGATTGCTTCAGAGATGGGGCTGCCTCCTCAGATATTCAAGGTATGAAATGGAGGAGCCTGATGTATTTCACACTGGCTTGTTTGACATTCATATATCTTACTGTTAATTCAGCAGTATTTTATTGTGGAAGAAAACCCCAGTGTTTCAGCTCACTCAGGAGTCAGGTAAGAGGTAGACCACCACTGGGGTGAGTTCCTTGAGTGTGCTGGGGGCATGTCAACCATTTCCTTCCCACAGTCCAAAGAAACCTCTAGGAAATGCCTGAGGGAGACTAATTTTCCCCAAGTATTACGATGTCTAGTCAGTTCTAAGAATACCACTGGACATGTGCTGTGGACATTTGGGATGGCAGTTCCCATTGCGATTTGATTGGACCTCAGTCAAATGGATCACTTTGAAGGAAAGCTTTGGTTGTCACCATTATACCACTGAAATAAAGGGTTAGCAAAGTATGGTTCAAATTAACTTATGATATGACCAAGAGCTTTTCTCTTCCAAAAGTTGAATTTTATTGTAAATAGTTTCTCAAAATATTTTTAACTGGATCATGAGCATGGGGAGAGAAAGTTTCTCAGCTGCTAAGAATTTCCCCACTGTTTACGTCTTTCACTTACAGTGGTATTGCATATAAGATTGCAGAATTTAAGGTTTTATTTGTATCTATTACACAAACCATTAAATTGTCTTTAATTTCATCATTGTCTTGGAGGTCCAGTGCACTAAGGGCTGATAGGGGAAAACTCCCTCTAACCAGTCAGCACTCTAACCCAGGCTTAAAACCATCCCATCAAGTAGTATGTGAAGTCAAATCTTTGTACTCTTCCAGACCAAACATTGAAATGGACTCATTCATATAAAATTCTATAAATCCTGTAAGTGAACAGATAGACAACTTCAGCAGTTGCATTTAAAAAGGTCACTATAATAAGTACTATATAGTACAGTATTAATTTATAGCAGGAAATCATATCTTGTAAACTGTATATAAAACACTGTTTAATGGTGCAATCATTTGTCAAATTTTTGTCTGTTACATTGTTTTTAGAGTGTGTGCATTCTTCTCATACCTAAGAATATCACTGTAAAATCTGCTGAAAAATATTTATAGGTTTTATTTGCACAAGACTTAATTAGTTTGAAAGTTTTGGAAGCTCCTATTGAACATGCCTAAACATCTGTAAACATGAAAAATCTTCAATTCATTAAAAGCAAACATTTCAGTATGATTCTTTCCAAAGGTAATCCATGTTCTATGTTGTTAATGTGTGTATGTAATTTTTCTGACTCTTCTACTTCTTATAAGCCTATTTTCCGTTTCATTTGTTTTGTTTTTGAAGGACGGCTCTTTTTTTTTTTTTTTTCTTTTTAATGTTCTAGATGACCAAAACACTTCATTGGTTTTTACCCTTTTGCCTAAATCTTTGATATCCCCACTTGATGTTCTGTGAATTCACTGTTTAATCTCTTAAGTAAAACAATGAACAGTCCTGGTGACATACAACCTATTGATTTAGAGGAATGACCCTGAAAAAGTATTGGAAACTAACTTTGAATATACTACTCTTAGCTATTATTTTGCATCGTGGGCTTCATGGGAGGAACATGTTGCATTTATTTTGTCTTTATTAAAAGACTACTAGCCACAGTTACTCTGATTGTAGTAACTGTTTTAGCAACCCACTTTGATCTTCTTTAAAATATTGAATTTACATTCACAATTCAAAACAGTAAGCTGTCTTTCAGAACTAATTTTGGAAGGATAAAAATATATGAAGGAAAAAAGTGACCTGTGTAGGTTGGATTCCCTACATAGGACTTATTAGTTATATCACCTCAAGAGATTTTAAAGTTTGTCATCAAGGCCTGTATATTACCCCAACTTTATTAAGAATTGTTTTCTAATTGGTTATAACATTTTTCGATTAATAGTTTCAAAACAAATTGTTAATACAAACTGTATAAAATGAACATAATTTTCTTCACTTGTATTTTTGTTATTGAGCAAGTTTATCAAAATAAATTGTCTACTAAAGAAACTAAAAAGGCTTCTATTACTTTGAAATAAGCTTTGAATTTAAAAATTTATTTCAGAAATGAATTTCTTATAGAGGTTTCACATATTCACACAGTGACACTTCCATGCCTCTTGGCTTAGTTTTGTTGTTAGCATTTTGCCAGGGGAATGTCTCCCCTCTCTTCTTCCACTCTCACTCCTAGCTCCCCCTTCGGGAGGAGATGCTATTAATGTTCCAGAACATGGATTAGGCTATGTTTACCAATAAGAAGAGGCACTCAGCAATAAGAGACCACACACATGTGGCACTCTCTTCTACATCATGTTTCCATGGACCAGGAGAGAGGTACTGAGCCAAGGCTCTCATTTTTCTTTCCTTTTTTCCTTGCACATCGACCTAAGCCCTTTCATCTTTGCTTCATTCTTCTGTTTTTACTTTATTTCAGGCCAAAGTCCTTTTAGCTTGTAAGATTTTAAAATTTGGGTTGAAGGAGCAATAGAGAACCCTTTGGTCTCTAGACTTATCCGTGTGCTCCATCACAGCTTTACTGTAACTCTCTCTAGGAGTATCAGGAGTGACCTAGCCTAATAAAAACTAGTAATCAAATGAAACACTATATTTACCCGTTGCTGCTGTTTCTCCTTTATATGGCCTCTGCAGGAGCCTCATGCAGAGTTGGGAGTTTAAGACAAGGTAGGATTGGGGTGTTCTTGGCTTCTGGACCTTAACGTCATCTTCTTACGGTGACCAACCATCCTGGTTTGCCTGAGACAGGACTCTTCTGGGACATGAGACTTTCAGTGCTGTAACTGAGAAAGTTCCAGGCAAACAGGGATGAGTTGGTCACCCTACCTTTCCACCATTCAAATCTTACCCTGATTTATAACACAGATTAGAGGTATTTGAAGAGTTCTTTTCTATAAACATTAATGAATAGGTCCACTGGAAATTGTAATGGTTGACTAAATACTGAACTTCTAAGAGGGGAAGGAAACACTTTTCTTCTCTTTGGTAATACTGTAGGAAAAGGCAACAGACTGTCTTTAAAAACAATAACATGGGTGAAAAAATTATTTCGAGTTACTCTTCCATCAACTCCCTTCTAACCACTGTATGAGAAGATTATAGGAAAAACACCAAGACTAGTGGACTGTGGGTTCCTTTTATGCAAAGTCAACTCTTCTGGGTCACAGTTACCCAGCAACAAAATAAAAGTAGTTATTTATAAATTGTATTAAAGATAGAAAGCATAATGCTGTATTATTTTTTTAGAATTTTGGTTCTTTTCCCAGCAGGAAAAAAAAAATGCTGGGATGATATTTTGAAGCACATTTAAGGTTTCTACAAAGAAGCCCCAGTTCCAAAGACTAAGACCACCCAAGATTAAATTTCAAGAAGAAATTTTTCATGAGACTTGTAAAATTTCAGAGCTGGATGAAATCTAAAAGCATGTTCAGTGTTTCCATTTTCCAGATGAAGAAATCAAGGACTCAAAGGCTTATGGACTTTCCCAGAGTCACATAACTAGATCTCAGGACACTCAATGTAGAAAAGAATGTCTTTGACAAATAGGCCTTGGACAGTTTTTGGCCTAGGACAGTTGTTCAAATTCTATAGTCAC